AAAAGTAGATCATAAGCAAATTTATAGTAATTTTCCAGGCAAATTTGCCTGGAATTGCTCTACAGTTTAAGGGATAAAACAAAAATTTTAGATTGCCTATAAAATAAAAATAGATAATTTTAAAGAAATTTTTTAATTAAAAAAATAATTTACAATTTCTTGGCAAACTCTTTAAATATTAGGTTTAAAAATATAGTTTCTAATACAATATTTTATCAGAAAATTATTACAACTTTTTTCAATGATCACTTGAACCAATTTTTCCAAACAAAGAAAACAAAAAGTCTGTTGAAGAGATAAGTAGCTATAGTAGTTTGTATTAAAAGGTTAACTAGCTGTGGGGATTTCTCATTATGTTTAGCATGCAAGCCAGAAGCCTAGTCAAGAGAAAAAGGCAGGTGGCACTCTCGGCAAGCTCTATAGATTCTGGTAGACAAAAGAAGTTAACACCGGATACGGATTGGAACTCTAATTATAACTCAAAATTTCATGTAAAGTTCTCGCCGGTGCCATTTCACGAGATCACCACGTCGTGATTTATCAATGGCAATATACTATACTAGGTATTTCTTCTTTGAGTCTTCTAGCTCCTTGTTCATATTAGAGTTCTAATCCGGATAAATCCGTCATCCATTTATCCATATCTGATTTATTCGGATATCCGTTTACTATTGATATCCGGATAATCTGAACAGATATCCGCTGGATATCAATAGTAAATGGATAGTAAATAGATATCCGAATAAATTCAGATCTGGATATCTGATAATTATCCGGATAAACGTTGAGTAAACCACAATGAAAAGCATGCTATATATTACTTTCTGCGTTATTTTTCTTACGGGTTGATCATAATTTAATCATAGATGAATTTGATCTTTCGGATGGGTTTGGTGCTGTATTATTTTTGTATTTACTGAGAATGAAATCTTTTACTAATGGTTCTGGAAATGTTCGAAAATGGAAAAACCTAAATCTTTCTTCCTGATCAACTTTTTTTAAAAAAAAAATTTACAGATAAAGTTATAAGAATATTCAACTGAGGTCGTATGTACCTACCTTCCTTCCTTACTGTCGTTTAGTCTCAAATTGGAATCGGTAGATGTATTGTAACTAATTTCACGAGTCATTTGAAAATTCTTTCGATTCACATAAACTTAAGATAGGAATCTATTGGAGGCAACAAAAAATAAACATCCGGATATTGACTTACCATCATTATGTAAGATCTTTGAATATAGTATAAATTAATTATAAAAAATCTAAGCATTATTTTTTTCGTAAACGAAAAACACGTTTGTTTATTGAAAAGTTTGCAAAATATGATATAAAGCGAGCAACTTACCGAGTGGCAGGACATCCCACGAAAAGTAGCAATCATGATTGGAACAGCCGGTGGCTGCCAAAGCAAGCCGGCTATGAGTGAAGAAATGATAGAATCACGTGTTCCTCATCTAGGAGTGGGTGGGGTGGTTACATTTTGATAATAATGCACCCTAAATCTGAATTACATTCTTGATGCATTTTAGTACTGTATTTATAAAATCCATGCAATTTTATTGGTTAAATTTTAAATTTTTTTGAGACTTTGAGCGAAGATATCTCATCAACCACTCAATTAAATTCGATGACGTTTTTCTTTATTTTGATTCTACAGATCTGTAGAATCAAAATAATAAAAAATTTTTTTTATCGAATTTAGTTTGGTGTTTGCTGAGTATTTTCGTTAAAAGTTTTACAAAAAAATTTGTCATAGCCATTATTTCAATAGTGCTGAGTATTTTCAAAACTTTGGGCGAAGATATCACGGTAATCACCAACTAAATTCGATTGTTTTTTTATTTTAATTCTACAGACTATTAGAATCGAAATAAAAAATAAAATAAAATAATAATAATAATAATAATATAATAATAATAAATTCATTGAATTTAGTTGGGCTCTAAGTTATACAAAATTTTGCCAAGGCTTTTTTGATAGGCGTTTTAAATTTTGAAATTTTGATCGAAAATATCTCGACAACCACCCAACCAAATTCGTTGAATTTGATTCTACAGATCTGTAGAATCAAAGTAAATAAATAAATAAATCTAATTTGGTTGGATCATTGCCGAGATATCTTCGTTCAAAGTTTTACAAAATTTTGTCGCAGCTTTATTTTGATAGGCGTTTTAAATGTTTTGCGACAAGTTCAATGAATTTTTTTATCAGAGTTGTAAAAAAAACAAATTTAGTGTATAATAAAAATCACTTGCACAGATCTACTACATCTTGTATATCTTGTATATGATGTGCAGCTTTTTTAAAAATTTTATTACTTGCACACTTAAATATCCAAAAAGAATCCTCGCACATGTGCATTTTGTGCATACCAATTTTAAACATTGTGTTGGCGATTGCCGGGATATATCTTCGCTAAGGTTTTACAAAAATTTTTCCGAGCTGTTATTTTGATAGGCGTTTTGAATTTTTTTAACCTTTGAACGAAGATACCTAACTAAATTCATTGAATTTTTATATCATTATTATTATTATTTGATTCTACGGATCTGTAGAATCAAAAACAAGAAAAATTCACTGAATTTAGTTGATGGTTATCGAGATATCTTTGCTTAAATTCTTGAAAAATTCATATAGAATGCATTGTAGGTCTAGTGATACAAAGCATTGTTAGTCGACTTAACCAAGTCGATTTTTATAAAGCCGACTTAAAATAAACTGCACTAGTTCTGTAACTATATAGAACATATAAGACACCCTAATTTTATTACTGTGTAGATATTGTAAACCATGATTGGTGTGTTATTATCATGCGGCAATATTATTATCATTGAATGGGGTTCACTATGTAGATCTATCAAAAAATGTAACCGTAGATCTATCAAAAATGAAACTTTTTGCGGGGCTGATTGTTCCTAGTTATTATACTTGTTCCCTCTTACGCTCTACTTGTGCTTGATCCTTTACGCCAATCATATGTCCCTGACATGTGTCATTCCATAATTGTATTTGATCTTCCTACGTTTTCACATGTGCTGACATGCCGTGAGGTCGTCTCTTCTGATCACGTGACTTTGTATATAATTTTTGGATAAATACGATTAAAACTATGTTGCCAGATTCTCAGTTTACTTGTTAATTTTAAGTAAAAACTATAAATTTTTGAGCAAAATAACCAAAATTCGATAAATTATTATTCAAAATTCTTGAACATAGTTTTATTATACGTATAACTTATAGTGCTTAATTTAGTAATAGATTTTTTTTATAATTGGTATATATTTGGTACGTAAATTATCCGTGATCAATTATATGATGCACTATATATAGTAAATCAATCATTCGATATCGATCAATCATATGACTTGAATACTTTGTCTAAAAGACGGTGAAACCCGCGCTAAATTCTGGTTAAATCCGCTATGCAGATCACATGAGGGTGAAATCCGCGATTATACAATATAAAAAACACAATGCTAATGTAGATTTCCCCCTAACCTGAGATAAAACAGTTTTACTAGAATTCAGCGTGGGCCTAACATTGATCTATAAAATTTTAACGATAATCGATTCATATTTTGCATTACGAATGTCCTATCAAGCTTTAAATTCCACAGGTGGACAAGATTTAGAAAGCAACGTTGCTCGGCATGATGGTAATTCTGAAAATGAAAGATATCCTTTTGGAATACCGATAACTTTATGTAGGAATGTCGCAATTCAAATGGGTAACTATTTCTTAAAAGTTTTCTTTTCAATTATAGCATACTTGGTTAACCTTCCTGTTTTATAGCTTTTGTCCGCAAAGTATGGACTATTTTAGCTATTCATTTACTTACAATTATCATAGTAACATTACTATTATATTTATGCGACTGGAGACACATGATTCAACGATAGTGAGTTATATGATTTCCTGTTACCAAAACTTTAAATTTATGATTAATCGTCTTTCAAATGAAATTTAGCATTTGGTTTTGGTGGCTTTCTTTGATATCATCGATAGGCTTACTGTTCGTTCTCACATATAAGTCGAATGACTATTATCAGCCACCTTGGTACTGGATGTTAATATACGCGTTATTCAATTCTTACACTATAGGAAGTATAGGTAAGTTCTTGGATATTTTCAGATTGTAAATATTAAACTAACTTTTTTTTTTTTTAATATTATTAGTATGCCTTCTAGATATAACTTGCATAGTAGATCTTTTGATTATACTATTCATTGTTTCCCTTTCATTGATCTGTTTTACACTTCAAACTACATATCAATTTAAGTCGAAAGAACCATTGTAAGTTCTGAAATCAATTGAATTGTTAAACAACATATACAACTTTACTGATTTCTTTTTGGACAAATATTTTTCAGATTTCTTGCTTGCATCACAATAATTGTTACATCTTTGATTCTTCATCCTTTGATATTTTCGATTATTGACGCAGTTCCAGCTGTCTCAATTGCTCTGCTATTATCGTTGTTTTTTATATTTGACACGTGGTATATGATGGATAATATGAATAAGGATGAATTTAAGGGTGCGGGTATGCAAATAATATTAGATTTACTGGTACCATTCAAGTGTATACATCATATGAGTGAGCTTTCAGCTGAATATTGGTGATCAATATTAGCTTCTTCATGTATTAAAAAGTATGATCAATTTTTTTTTGACGTCTCTTTTTTTTTTTTTAAAAAAAAAAACAATAATATTCGTATATGAAAGTATTACCAGGAGGTCGAACTAGTAAATTACTAAGTTGAAACTTCTTATTAGCTGATAAATCAATATAATGGTAAAATTTTTATTTGTAAAATTGTGATCTTTGTAATTATTACCAAGTTCAAGAGACTTTTGGATGCAAATTATCCTATTGATTAGGGATTTTCACGCTGCGGGAGGTTCTATACCTTAATATTAAATTTTTTATACGTTGTAAATAAGTTATAGAGTTTATTTTTCACTTATTAATATGTGTAAATTGAAATTATTATTATTGTTTTTTACATTTCATTGTCATATTTATTAAAAGTTTGGTTTATTGACTATTTGGAAAGGGTTGATTATAGAGTTTTAAAGAATCTTGATCCAAATTGCGGTTTACGTACAAATATATATATATTTACAGAGGTTATTGTAAATAAATAGACAGTTTTAAGGTTTTAAATAGCGATTTTTAAGTGCAAGTTTCTCAATATTCTGTTTAAATCCATAACATTTATAAACAAACATAAATTAAAATATTGACGTGAACCAGTAAACATTATTAACCAAATAATTTATTTTTATCTTTATAATACTGCATATTTTATAAGTAAAAATATTATACGTATATAAAAATAAAAATTTATACAAAGAAATATATTTAGCCTTTTGCACCCAACCAAATTTTTTGTTTTTTTTAAAAAAGAACTTGTGCTTTAGAAATTTATCAGAGATCTGTCTCATATATATATATTTCATCTCACTGGTCGAAATAAAGCATATCGGACGAGTGTCATGGTTTTTTTAGTCCTGATATGGCACTAATTAATGACTCGAATCGTAGGTATCAGAATTGATAGAGCTATTAGGTTTCTGATATTTAACCCTGGAAATGACGCGATTTGAGCCATTAATCAGTGCCACATCGGGGCTAAAAAAGTTATGATATTTGCCCGATAGGCTTTATTTCGATTAGTGTCTAATACTGTTTTTTATAACCAAGGCTTTAAATATCTTAACACTATTATAAAAGCCTTTTCAACAATTTTTTTTGATAATATTTTAAATTCTCTACATTGCCTAATAATAACAGAATGTTTGAATTTTTTTTTTAATGTAATCCGCCAATAATTTAAGAAATAGAGTTTCAATATATTGTGATTTTTAGATTTCTTTCTCTGTACGTACGGTGCATGAAGTCTAAAAACCTCAATCATTTTATATAGGAAGGTCAAGTAATTCATTGGAAATAAGCTAAGGTCGTTCTCAAACGCCTTAATTAATAGGTCAAAAAGTGTCGGGGAATAAGTACTATTTATTTTTAGTTTTGGTGTTCTGAGCATTTTTACCGTAAAATCTCGAAATAACGCGCAGGGGTGAGGTTACAATTTTCGGCACGAATTAAGCTTAATTCTGGCCAAGATTCGAAATAACGCCCATGCCCGCTATTTCGAGATTTTACGGTAATATCTAACCCCTATTTCTTAATTAGTTTTTGAGATATAGCACCTAGTGATGCGACCCAAACCTAGTGGTTTCGGCACTTGCCGTATCGTAATTGTCCCAAACTAATATAATGCTGATGAATTTTAAAACTCTAAAATATTGTAAATAAAGATATAGTATTTATGCACAAATTTTTTTATTTTATTTTTATCTTGATTAAAATTATCCCAAACAGGTAATGGTAGACGCCCTCTTTTTTTAGACATCTTTTTTTTTTAGATGTCTTATTTTAAAATTTGTAGTTTGATCGTTAGTAGTATTTGTTGAAGTCTCTGCTAAATCCATGTGTAAATTAGAAAAATCAAAAAGCTTTTTATAAACTATTTATGTAATCTAATTAGAATTTTACACTTAGATTAGATCTTTGCATATGATTTAAGATTTTGCTATTATATTTTGGATTTGGTATATGCTTGAGATTTTAATACTTGGGATTCGACATATGTTTTTGATTTCGTATAGTTTTGGATATTTGGGATTTGTGAGTTTATTTTGGATTTGGCAAATATCCCGTAATGCCATTATTTGCCGTAAATAGTTTGGATCGCATCACTAATAACACCCTGGTATAAATTATAAATGTTATTATTATTATCGTTATATTAATTTTTGACGATGACAACTGATAAATAGAATAATAACAAGAACTGCTAAGTATCAATTACAATCTTGTTTCACTAGTTAATCGCATCGAAGTCAACAAAAATATTATATGACTGTATAAATATAATTATGGCAGTGCGCTATTGCGAATAACATCGTGAATAATGAATGACCCAGTAACTGCTTATTTCAGCTAGTTGCTAATAAATACATATTATTTCTATGTAAAAAGGACGAGAATTCTGTAGAGATTTTACTCGAGTCAGTTAACTCGTACAGGTTGACTCGACTCGGTGGGTATACGGGCTATGGGTCAAAAAGTGGGTTGACCTGGATCAAAGCAAAAAACAAAGCAACACTTGCGAGGTCAAATTCGTTTTAGTTGAGCCTCTTCGTGTACATCATTAATTAATTCAGTATAAGCCACGTTGAAATTAAAAATATGAGATAATTTAATTGGCTAACTTATTTGACCTGGGTCATGACTCGAGTCAATCTCTTACCCGAATTTTATCGACTCGAGTCATTATTTTGATCCGGGTAATACCTTCACTTTGTTGAGATCGATAATCTAAGAAATTTACTTTCATTGTGCTACTAATTTATGCATTATCTATGCAATTTCCTGCACCGTACGTACGCTTAACTTAATGGGTATCCGCTTTTTCTGCACTAAATTTAGTAGTTTTAAAAGGTAAATTTGAAAAAATTTTTATTACGTACTGTATTAACTTTAAATTAATTTTAGGATAGAATACATAAATATATACGTATCTATTCGCATTTCATTTTGGTTTATTAAAAGATTTGTTAACAAAAGTTATATTCACAAGTTTAAATATTTTTAAAAATAAATCTAATACAAAGTTTAAAATTTTACATATTTTGCGAAATATCTTGATCTAGCGGTCAGAACTTAACGATTTTGGCACCCAACTCAACGAGTCGGATCGAATGGTGCCAAACTCGTTAAATTCTAATTATCGTGCAAACTCTTATTATCATAGGATTTTTTTCTTGTTATTTATTGTAAGCATAACAATCTCAAATTGAAACTCAATTAGTCAATAATAATTGCACTATATAAAATCGATATTGGATCATGCGATGATAAATATCATGAAATTTGGTTTGTCAGAACAAATGATTTGCTGGAATGAGCCACTGCGTGGCACATGTCAGCCAACCGTTTGCACTGACAAGCCAAATTTCATGATATTTATCATCGCATGACCAATATCTTATAAATATAACGATCATAATCTAAAATTTTAGTACTAATAAAACTATCTCAATGAGTAAATTGAATTATATCAAAATTATCAAATTCTGTTTACTAGAAACATGAAATATTAATAATTGTCACGGCTTAACCCTAAATCCTAGAAAAACGCCTAAAAAAATGTGCCTCAAAAATTTTTAAAAATCGTATATTAAATAGGGTTTTGTTTCACAATCATACGTGACAATAATTATAAAACCTCAATTATATTGATATCTAGTGGTCTGATTTTGACAATTTTGATTTAATTCAATTCGTCGCAATGAGACAGTTCGAATGGTACTAAAATCATCAAAGTTCAATAACTAGATCGTTAGATATTTACAAAAACCCTTTGTGGCGCAGTTATATATATTAAATTAGAATTGCGTCTTAAATCGTTTTTTATAAATATCTCGTGATCAAGTGATCTGAATTTGACAATTTTAGTACCATTCGAACCGCCTCGTCGAGGAAAATTCAATGATACCAAAATCGTCAAATTAAGATCATCAGATATCGAGATCGTTATGCTTTAATAAAAATAACATAATTATCAATACCCTGTGATATAGTGATCATAATTTAATGATCCGATCTGTCTCGTTGAGACGATTCGAATGGTACCCAAATCGTTAAATTATAATCACTAGATCACAAAATATTGCAAAATTCATAATTAAATTTGAATTGTGAGTGACCTGACTGCAGACACGTGCCCGCGTGACCCAGGAAAATCCAAATTTGGTTTCAGATTCAGAGAGGAAATATGGCGGATAATAATAATCGTAGCAATAAGAGTAATTCTAACTATAAGGCCTATTGTATCATGTAATAATAGATAAATAATTATAAATAAATAAAGGCTTCATGCCCCTTCGGGAAGGATAACTCCACTTTACCCAAAATAATAAAGTATATAAATCACATATATTATAAATTATCATTTAATCACTCGCCAAATCTAACACGCCTCTTTCGTCTCCAGATTCTGTTGGTCAGTTACTCGAACCCAATTGCTGCGGAACGATTGGCCGACGATTCTCGTTTAACAACGTTTAAGATTGTGCAAAATTTTTATTAATAAGTGTGATTATAATGAAGTGTGCCAATTATAGAGACCATATTTATTATATTTAATAATAATTATACGTATAGTTTTAAAAAAGATGTGCTTATAAAGAATATGTACTTATATAGGAGGTGACTATAGAGAGGTTCGACTGTATTCAAATATATTTTAGCAGAATTTGAATAGATTTGGTTAAATCGTTAATCTAAAATAATTTTTTTTGTGTACTAAATTTAGTACTGATGGATACCCATTAATTTCTACCGAGAATAAAAATTTAGTTTTTAAGGGTAACTGATTTTGCATGACATCTGCATTAATGTTATCTTTCTAAACACTATAAAACGAAATCATCCTTTATTATTTTTTCGTCCAATAAATAACAAAAAGATTTATGGATTGTATGTTTCATTAAATATGTATTTTTAAATATAATGCCCTAGGAAATTAAAAAAAAATTTATTTCGACATGTCTAATGCCAATAAACAACTTTTCGCTTACCTCTTAGAATGTGAATGAAAATTTGAGATTAGGTTGAACAAGTTACATAAAAATCGGTTGTGCTTACGTCAGATATATTGTATACCGACAGCATTCATAGTAATTGTTAATACGTTTTGCGTTGAAGCAATTTCAAATTTGCAGAAGCTTTTTATATGCATATTTTCCCTTATGTTCTAATTACATATTGTTAATTAATTTTTTATAATAGCCAACTTATGGGGAAAATACAAATTTATTCTTATTGGCGTTTTTGCTGGACTTACGATATTATGTATTTTGTGGTATCTTGCATATCGTAGACGCTACAGCGTGAGTTGTCCGTAAACATGAATATGACATGAATACGGTTTGTTTTTTTTATCATATGCTAAAATATTCGTGAATTTTTTGATTTTTTATTTTAAAGTGGTTTGGAAAAGCGGGACGACAATATGCGATACTTAACTTCTTGACCATTTTTGTGTCTACGCTAATAGTAGTGGATCTCATATTGGACATTTTATTTATTGTTTTTCATAGAAAAGATGAAAAATGGATTTTGCCTGTCAGGTTTGTTATATTCCGCAATTAAGTAGTAGTTGAACTTGTTTTTATTGTTTAATAAGTTAAATATTGATTTTTATTTTTTTTTTTTAGCATTACTTTCTTAGTGGCTCCAATTGTTTTCTGCACTCTGTTTACATTTATAATTATTAGTCGCGAGTTTAATGAATATGAATATAGAAAATGGTGGTCGACGCATAGTCGCACTGCTCTAGCTACGACGCTTTTATCTGGACTTGATGTCGAAGTTTTGAACGTGGCATCTTCACATATTGCTAGCATTGGTTCACTAAACGCTCCTTACTCACCAGAAGCGGATAGACGGATTTTATATGCTACCGTTTTTATTCTAATTACCGAAGACATGCCTCAATTTATATTTTTGGTAAACAAAAGTATTATGCAAATCTGTGGCGTCTTTGTTATTAATGATAAAACCAATTTATTTTATTTATGTAGATAATTTATCAAAGAGTTATTGTCATCCCGGCTATTGTTCCTATTCTTGCACTTTCTTCATGCACTATTCTCATATTTCTTAAAGCCATATCAATAATATATTATGCATTCTTCTATGAACGAAAATTGCGACACGAGGATGATGAACCTACGAATGAAACCGATGCACCTAGTAAGGTTTTTTTTTTCCACAATACTTTTAAATAAATTTTTTAACTTAAATATAACGTTTTTATTTATACACGATATTTATTTATAATGGAAAAACCAGCAAGGAAAACAGAAAAGAAACCAGATAATAGGCCATCAGGACAGACACATATAGTCACATTTTCAAGTTCAGATCCAATTATAGATATTGGAGAAAGTCATGAAAAACCTTCGAAATTCAAAGAAGTTTTGTGAGTATTAGTGTCAGATATATTTTTGAAATGAGAATTGTCAATAATTCAAAAAGACTTTGATGCATATATTTAAAATTACCAGTTCGTGAGTACCGTAAACTGCCATATACAAGACCCGTATCTGTTTCATTTCACCGATTTTAAAACCTGTTATAGACCCGTGGGTCTTCGTATGGGTGTGGGTCTGATATCTGGGGGGTCTTGTATATGGCAGTTTACGGTATTTAGAGTCAAAAATATTTCAATATCAATTCTTGTTATGAATCAATTATAACAATCTACTTCTAGTTGGCGAGTATTGGGTATTTAAAAGCGTAACATTTAGATCAAAATCTTGTTAATTCAAAGTTACGTATAAAATAAACCATATTATTATCAGTCAGTAAGTAATTAGAAACAGATACCTCCCAGATCATTTAGATCAATTTAAATGACCCACAAATATATATATATATTATTAAAATGTAAGTATTTTGAGTCTCAAATACTTAAAACTTATTAATTCATAAAATAACCATAAATAATTTACGCATAATACTATTAGTGAATGAATATTTAGATTTACAACATTTTTAAAGCCTGAAATTTCATTGATTCAAAAAACAATGCAACTTACATACTTTTTTACTCTGTTTTTTACTCTGTGGTTAAATTAGCGAGTATATATTATTTCTAAAATTTAATTTCCTTTGTTTCAAAAATTAAATTTACAATCTAAACAATTTACGCACGTCTATAAAAAATCAGCTTGTGAGTATTGAGCAAATATAATACAATTCGAAAATAAATTAACACTTGAAATAATCTGCATATACGAATATTGCTAGAGAGTAAGTGGTTATTTCAATTTAAAATTCATATAATTCAAAATAACTAACTTACTTACAAATACATTTCAACTGATTAGAATGTGAGTATCAGATTTATGAAATCAGAAGTCAAAATTCTTGCTAATTCAAAAATGAATGAATAACTCACATAATCATCATGTTCTTAGAACGTGAGTACTGATAAATATTTTAAAATTAAAAACAAATAACGCATCTCTAAATATCCACACACATACCATTACCATTAGGATGTGAGTATTTTGAATTTTACGTTAGAATTCCAATCAATATAAAAACGAATAATTCTAACAAATCACATATTCCTGCATTACTTTCATTAGTGTGTGAGTATTCAAAGCTGGTTTTAAAATTAAAGCTTCATTGATTCGAATTCAATTAACGTGATCGCATTATTAGAGAGTAAGTATTTGTACTGTAGTAAATATTTTTTTGAAATTAACGCTAAGTAATTCACATATAAATCATTAGGGAGTGAGTATTTGAAGTTAATAATAAACATTGTTAAACCCTTTCATCAATTCACAATTTTTAAATCCTTTATCCATATTATATGCACATAAAATTCTACTAGAGAGTAAGTATATAAAGGATCATAAACGACTTTAAAGAGCGATTTTAACACACCGAGGTGAAATTCACAGGGTGCGCTATTTCTCAAGAGTGGTTTAAATATTAGAATTATTAGTGTTAAACAAAATATTCATGATTCAAAAAAAAACCCAACTTTTACTTTGAACTAAACTCTAACAACTTTAAAGCGCAGTTTGATTTTCTACAAAATATATAATATACTGGTGAATTTAGGTAACATAGTGATGGCAGAAAAAATTCGCAATCAGGTGATTTCGAACTTTCTGAACTTCATAATGCAACCAAAATATAGTAACTACATACAAAACTTTATGCAATTTAGACATAGCGCTATATTATTATTAATGAAAGCTTATTGATAATTGATTGGATTACAATCATCTGCGAATTTTTTCTGCCATCACTATGCTACCTGGTGAATTTCACATTCGATGCGTTTTAAAAATTCAATTTTAAAACCATAATTTAAATACGTATATATTTTATATTATTAGAGAGTAAGTATTTTAAGTTAAAATTGATAATTTAAAAATAATCAACACAACTTTAATACACACATTACATTATTAGAGAGTAAGTATTTAAATTAAAATTGTTCATTCAAAAATAATCACATCGTTAATATATTATATGTTAGAGAGTAAGTATTTAGGCATCTTAAAATTAAATATCTATAATTCAAAATAAATGCTTACAAATTTTAATTCATTATATTAGTTTAATATATAATATTATTAGTGAGTAAGTATTTAATAAATTTTTTAAAATAATTATATTAATTTAAATCAATTAAGCAATCTAATGTACTATATTATTAATTCAAATACAGTCATTAGAGGGTAAGTATTAATATTAAGCATATTACATTATTTAATTTTTTTTAAAAGTATTATAGAAAAATTAAGTGTTATATGACTTTAAAAATAGGTGCTACTTGATGTCAAGCTAAAAATATATTGGTATGTATACATACATGCGAATACTTATTGAAGTGCGCAAATTATGATCGGAATCAATTACATTTTTTTTGATACATATCTATTGTAAGTTTACTGTTACACTCGGGACAATAAAAAATAAGTATCTTAGTTAAGGTAAGTTTTACTGTACTATTAAATGTTTTTATTTTTTATATTAGTGCATACAGTCATGTCCAAAAGTATTAAACTTTCTGTAATTTTTTTATGTTAAAAAGCTACTGTTTTACAATTTTAAATTAAATAGTATAGAACAACTCCATATAGTTTATTTTTATATTATATAAATATTATAAAGAATTATTAAAATTTATAAAGGCATAGATAAAATTTACAGTACTAAAACTTTTTAAAAATTAGAATATTAAAAATTAGAATATTAAAACTAACAATTTGTATTGGTAATAAAAATTCAATTCAAATATAATAAAGTGTTTATTAAGTAACTAAAATTTAAAATTATAATTATTTTTTATATAGTTAAATAATGATACTTTTTAATAGCTAATAAATCATATTTTACTGCTTAATCTATGAATTTAATCTTCATTATTACGAGACAAGTTTTTAATAAATACTGTACCTTAATGGAAAAATCCTTATTTCGCCAACTATAATCTGGTATGTCACATCGTTTTACAACGTGGAAACAAACTTCTAAAGTTACCTACAGTATAAACGAACTTTATATTACTAGAGGCGATTAATAACTTGAAATTTGTTAAAGTTATGATGTCGAAAAAACCCAACTATTTCAACCACCAATAGGCATAAATCAGTTGTAGAGATACTGTAGAATAATAATAATTTTTATAAATGTAAACGTTCTATTTTATTATATGGATATAAGTTTCACCCACGTATTAATAGAGAACAAATATTCGAATGTTTAAAAAAAAAGCATTTGACAGAAAGAATATTGCATTTACTGTATATGATAAATTAGTATATTTTTATTATAAAGTTTTTTTTTAAAATAATTGAATCTACTTAAGATGATTTAATCAAATAACTATTAATATATTTTAATACATTTTAATTTATTATATATATATGTATTTTGGTTTTGGTCTGCATACTATACTTAGAATTATGTTTAATTTAACAAAAGTTTTATTTGATTGTATCTATTTGGATACATCACTTTACACTTAACTTTATTTATAACATTTCATTTGTTGATAATTTACTATTTTATATTTAATTATATGCTGAACTATTTATTTGTCATATTTTATATATTTATTGTAGTATTTCTATATCCTGAATGTAAAATTTTAAATCAAAATTAGTATTGTTGGATTGAATATTCAAAGAAGCCAGCGTGGTGTTCTTGTAAAGTGAAGATCCCAATGCTTTTACACCTTCTGTTCCAAGTCTATTCCCTCTAAGATTCAAATAAGTAAGGGTGGTGTTTTTGCAAAGTGCATTAGCTAATGCTTTTCCAACTTCTGATTCAAGATCATTACTACTAAGATCCAGAGAAATCAATGCAGTGTTCTTGCAAAGTGCATCAGCTAATGCTTTTCCTCCTTCCAATCCAAGACAATTGTAAGCAAGATTCAAAGAAGTCAGCGTGGTATTCTTACAAAGTGTATCGGCTAATGGTTTTACACCTTCTAATCCCAAATTAGTATAACTAAGATCCAAGGAAGTTAGCGTGGTGTTCTTGCAAAGCGCATATGCTAGTGCTTTTCCTGTTTCTGATATAAGATAATTTTGACTAATATCCAAGGAAGTCAGCGTGGTGTTCTTGCAAAGTGCGTCAGCTAATGCTTTTCCTTCGCTTGATCCAAAAAAATTATTAGCAAGATTCAAAGAAGTCAGGGTTGTGTTCTTGCAAAGTGCATCAGCTAATGCCTTTCCTGCTGATCTGAAGTTATTACCTTGAAGATTCAATATTTTTAGCGTGATGTTCTTGCAAATTGCATCAGCTAATGCTATTCTACTTGCTGATCCAAGATCATTCAAATCAAGATTCAAAGAAGTCAGCGTGGTGTTCTTGCAAAGTGCATCAGCCAATGCATTTCCTCCTTCCGATTTAAGACAATTGTTAGCAAGATTCAAAGAAGTCAACGTGGTGTTCTTGCAAAGTGCATCAGCTAATGCTTTTCCACCTTCTGATTTAAGATAATTATTAGCGAGATTCAAAGAAGTCAACGTGGTGTTCTTGCAAAGAAAGTTTGCTAATATATTCCCTTCCTTAAAACCAATCTGATTATTAACAAGACCTAAAGAATTTAGGATAGTATTATTATAAAGTGTTTCTAATATTGTTTTCACACCTTCAAATCCAAGGTGAATTGATTTAAGATTTAAGGAAATTATAGTAGAATTTTTATTAAGGAACTTTAGTAATTCATTCGTTGTTTTTGATTTAAAATTACTGATATTATACGAGTATAAATCCAAAGAGGTAATGGTAGTATTCTCACAAATATTAATTGATTACAAATAATTCCATTAAGACTTAAATATTTAAGATTCTTGCTAGTTCGTAGAAACATTACAATCAAAGAGTTTTCAATGGCGTATTCAATCTCACGTCTTGTTTCATATTTATAAGAAAGCCAATTTCTAAT